AAAACAACTAAAACACACATTCCACACATCCTCCATTCTTTCATCCTCTCCATTCTTCCATACTTTCTATATCTATATCACATTAAGTTCTCCTCTCTCTTTATTCTTTCCTTTACCCCTTTTCACTTTATCCTTTTTCTTTTTCTTTTTCTCCTTCTCTTTCTTTTTCTTTGATTTTACCCTCCCTTTCTCTCCACATTCTTTTTAATACTTTCCCTTTAATCTCATCGATTTCATCATCCCATATCCTTTCTATATAAAGACTATAATAAAAAAGACTATATTATTCTCTTCGTGTATAAATATTTTTTATGTTGAGAGTTGAAAAAGAATAGTTTTCAGAGCGTATTTGAAAAATATGCTCTTTTTAATACTTTCCCTTTAATCTCATCGATTTCATCATCCCATATCCTTTCTATATAAAGACTATAATAAAAAAGACTATATTATTCTTTTCGTGTATAAATATTTTTTATGTTGAAAGTTGAAAAAGAATAGTTTTCAGAGCGTATTTGAAAAATATGCTCAAAGGACTGAAGGACCCAAACAATAAGAATGCCCGTGATTAGGTATGTGTCCGAGCGATTGGTACTTTTACCTTATAAACACAAGTGCGAATTCCCCGGTTAATTCCTTCCAAGACACCAATTATGACGCCGACGGCGTAATGATCGGTGGACGATGAATCTCAATGGGCAATCGAGCGAGACCGATACCGTAGGATTTGTTCGAGGACACTAATTGACACAAAAGATGCAATTGACATCGAGAAAAGGACACCGACCGATCCTTGGCATCGGTCCTAATCGCGATATACGCGTGTTTGTCGCCTAATACGTGACACAAGTGCCGACGATGCACTGCCGACGTTATTGTCGTAACACCGTTAGCACAATACACACGTCGCCTTACTTTTCTTACGCAAGGTTCGGCTTCTATCCAGCTGATGGTTCAAGGACGTTCGTTCCGCGCGCGAACATTTGTTCCAACGATCGCTCCTACTACATCTTCCGAAGGCGAGATTCGATATTACAATTAGAGATCCGGGCGCGACACGATGCCTAACTCGATCTCTCGGAATAATCCTCGTCCTTAGACGCGAGCCCGCCGCAAACTTCTCTCACAGCCTCGCTACGTCCGTGACGGAGACTCGTGATCGACGCCGTCGTCAGTTCCAGCGGCTGAATTTTAAACGGTCGCATTTTACGTCTGCTTCGTAATGAATTTTTTTTTCTCGAACGACGAATAACGGTCCCCGGCGAGTCTTTCGGACCGCACGAGACATACATTAGCGGTCCCCGTTACGCTTGAAACAGGCGTATCGTCTCTTCGTCCGAACGCCTCGCTCATCGACATTAATTTTCTATCTATTTTCAGAAGCAAGATGATCACCAGGCATCGACGATACGATATCTTGCTTGTGATGTCATATCTCTTCGTGCAGGTAAAATTGGCCCCGTTTCATCATCTGATATGTGGCGATTGTGAGAACGGGATTAGAACTGACAACGGGACTCTCGCTTTTCATTAGTGTGAACGTTTTCCTTTCCTCTCACGTTACGAGCTCTTACTTTTGTCAATAACGACGGAAACTCGACTCGTTGACTCGACTCGTCTCGTCTTTGAATACGCTTGTTGAACGTGCTCAGCAAGTCCCTCGCGTAATTCGCAATTTCGCAACACTTTCTCGCGGACGCGCCCTTAATACCTCACGAGTAAAAGTAACAAGCACGTCCATTTTTAATGACGCCGCGTATATAAAGAGCATCGAAAAAAAATATGTAGAGTAATTACAGAGTCCTCTCTCACTCCGTTCTTATGTAACACTTTTACTTTTTCCCGCTCTCGTTCTCGCGCGTGCTCCGTCGCGCCGGGGATTTGAAAAGTTACCCGATAAGATCCACGGCCATGGCAGGTTAATGGATCCTCCTGCGCGGAACGCGATGTGGCGTTTCGGCTACCCGAACCCCGTTAATTACAACGACAACGAGCTCTTCTGCGGAGGATATGCGGGTTCGTTCACGAATCGGTAGAAATTCGTCTACACTGAGAAAGAAAGAAATGTGTCCGGCATTTGTAGCTGTAATCGAGCATAAAAAGATAGTTATTGCAAATTATGACCAAAAGAAAACTACTGTTTTATTAAATTCTACTATAATGTTAGTGATAATAAGCTCACATGCATATTACTACTACCATATTTTCGTGTTAGAACAACCGAAGAAATATAGCCGGAGTCAAAAATAACTAATTTTCGTTAGATCAACCATTCTTTCCTCTCAGTGTAAGATAATTGCTAGAGAACGGTCGCCGGCACAAGAATATCCTAATTTTGAAAGAAAGAGCATATTTAAAAAAATATTATACATCGTGATATTAGAGTTATATTTTTAGGACACATTATATACCTCTCGAATTTGATCCGTGTATGGGTCTACTGTAATTCTGCATCTTGTTTATTGCGAGTCGATTGCGTGGATATCTTCCACGCTTTTCAAGAATCTCACTGAAAATGGGCCGGCGCTCGTCCTAGCGTTTAGCTGTTATAATTGTTGCGAGTTTGAACGCTGATATTAACGAGAACTGTTGCGTTACGAACAGTGCAGTGGCAGCAAAATAAAGGCAAGTGCGGACTTTGCGGCGACGCCTATCATTTGACGCATCCACGTCCTCACGAAGCCGGCGGCGAGTTCGCCAATGGAATTATAGTTAGGCACTACACTGTAGGCCAGGTAACGTAGATCTTGATATTTTCGCGTGCGAATTAATCATCGCTTTCGCTTGTGAGACGAAGTTCCCATCCGGAGAACTTCACGCATGAATGAATCTGCGAAAAATGTACAGTGAAACGAATTTAATCTCAGTATAATCTGTTTGAAGGACATTGACGTGGAGATCGAGCTTACCGCCAATCATTACGGGAGGTTCGAGATGTATCTGTGCCCCAATAACGATCCATCGCGCGAAGTGACTCAAGAGTGCTTGAACTCGTAAGTATTCTTCTATAAGATAAGAGACTTTTTAGAATAAGAGCCATTTTTCCTTCAATTTAGACAGACATACGATTTAACTATCAGCTAACTTATCAAGAAGATGGAACAACCGGCTATAAGTATGATTTCTCATTATTATATATAGAATATCAGATTCGTTATCCGCAACTGTGGAGTACAGATAGAACTCGTCTAAATGACCGCAAAGTTTCTCTACCATTTCGCAAACAACCACGTCAAATTTTAAGTCATTAATTAATGAACATTGATGAATGATCACGCGTGATACGGTAGATGAACTGTGTGATAACGATATCTGTCTTGTACATTAAGTCAAACTGAACAAAAAGGTCCTCTCTACTACTTTAGAAATAATCATGTAGATATTTAATTATTAATTTAATTATTAATTAAAGAAGATTGAAGTATAGAGTTGTGTGCAATAATGCACCAATCTCCTTTAATTAATGACTAGATATCTACGTGGTCATTTGCAAAATGGCAAAGAGTACTTTTTTGTTCAGTTTGATCTAATATAGAAGCATACAACACTGCAGGCGTCGCTATTATAGTTCATTCGTCGTATTGCGTGTGATCATTTGTCAGTTTTCCTTAATTAATAGAATTTTTGCGTGTTTAGAAAATAATAGAGGACTTTTTTGTTTAGTTTGACTTGATCTACCTACACACATCGTGTCTTGCGTCAGATATTCTGTACATAAAATTCTCCATAAATATATATATAGGGTGTCCCGAAACTACCGGATGTTATTTTAATGACAAATTCTTTAGAACATTTTAAAACGAAAACTTCCATACAAAAATGTCGAGACTATAATAGTTTTCAAACAGGAAGCGATTATATTTCACCAATAACAAGACAGATTTCGCGCGCTCAGGCACGCCGAAATGACAAGTGATAAAGGTGCTACACGCAGTATAGAATAGTGGACACCTTCATGGTAATAATTGATCGACACGTTGACAGATTAAGTTGAAATATCATTTTTACTTGAATCATATTTAAGATATCTTACAACTGTTATTCATATAAAAAATATACTAATGCAATGCGTAGAGAAGCAGCAAAACATATTATGACAATGTTATTGTAAATTTATACAATAATCATAATATCGTAAAAAAAGTGACATTCATAGGAGCAACTTTATCACTTGTCATTTCCACGTGCTTAAGCGCGCGAAATCTCAACCCTGTTATTGGTGAAATATAATCGCTTCCCGTTTGAAAACTATTATAGCCTCGACATTTTTGTATGAAAGTTTTCGTTTAAAATGTTCTAAAGGATCTGCCATTAAAATAACATCCGATAGTTTCGGGACACCCTGTATAAATGAATAAATTTTTCGCGAGAGGCCAGGCGCTTCTCTCTTCATCCGTACCGTCTTCATTAACGCTTCTTTATGCACAGTTATCCTCTGTACGTGTCCGGAACCGAGGACGTCCGTTTCGAGATTCCGCGTCACACAGCGAAGAAAGGAATCCTACGATATTCCGTGACTCTACCGCCATACGTCACATGTTCGCATTGCGTTTTACAATGGCAGTACCACACTGGTAATATCAACACGATATCTCGTTGCTTCCTTACCGCCGTAGCTGATCCCTTGAAATTTCTCGCTTCTCATCTCGTGTTGTTTGTTATATCAGGAAATATGTGGGGCACGTGCGAGAACGGCACGGAAGCCGTTGGATGCGGACAAGCGGAACAGTTTCGCAATTGTGCCGACGTGAGAATCGTGACCAGCACCGGTGGCATACCGCCGCGTCTCTTAATTCAGAACACTATCTTCGAGCTGTACTCCGTAATCCCGAGATTCCCCATCAACCCGCTGGCGCGACCGTTGAGGTGAATTGATCGAAGAATTAATCATTCGCGTGATCGTTTTGCTTTGTGTGACACATGTGATTTCGCGATTTCAGAGCTCAAGTGTGCGAGTCTACCGCGGCTTACCGACACAGGCAGAACATGAGCGACTGGTGTCAAATAAATTGCCTTCGTGTCCCGTCGAATTGCCCGCCGAGTATATGTCACTGCCTGTGAGTATCAAATTGTACTGCCGTCGCCTCAATTGATTATAATTAACTCACGACCACCGAGCGTTCGATCAATTACAACGTCGCGTAATTATCGCGAGACGCTTCGTGCAATTTTCATATCTCGAAAATGTTCTTACATCTACCCCGCTATATTCGCAGGGAGACGTGCGACGCTATCGGCGACATCGCAGAGCAGCCAGGTGCGGACCAGTATTGTCTGAGACGCTGCATGCGCTATCCGTCCGATTGCCCGACCGAACGTTGCAACTGTTATTGAATAATCCCTTACAAACCGCGACACTGACTTTCCGCATCTAGCCCCCTGAATGTGGAATGTACTTTTATTCCTAAATAGATCAATAAATGTCTGACTGTAGACGTAATTGTGGTGCTTGCTGCGTGAGCCTCTGGGGGAAAATTTCGGCTCCTTCTGTGAATCGCCGCGTATATGGGAATATTTATCTTACCTTATCGCGCTCATCTTTCTTCGACGAGAGCCCTGAGAAGTGCTGAGAACGCGAAAAATAAAAAATAAAAGTATCGACGCGTGAATACGTGCCTAACTCTGGACATTTTTATTATTTTAGTCTCTAAATACGAATATTTAAACTTTGAGCATTGAATATATGCATACGTTTTATCTTGGAAGTTTAAATATTTATGTTTGACTCCTGACTACTGATTTATGACATCAGAAGGGCGAGGAAGTGCATGCCCAAAATTCTTGCAGAGTACGTCATGATACGTCATGGTACGTCAAAAATAATTGTAATAATCGATTTGAGTATACATATCTCTAAAATACTCCTAACACTTTCGCTCTAACAATCAATATATTGACTGTGGCTCAATCGATTACAGGTGTCGTTTTTTGGATATATCTTTTTATTTCGACGTACTTTGCAGGAATTTTGGCCACGCATTTCCTCGCTTCTAACGCCATCGATCAAGAGTCCCGCGGCGAGTAGACAGGAGCCTTACAGACTAAAACAATAAGAGCGTTTAGAGTTAGATACGTGTTCAGACATTGGTACTTTTTTTTATTTTAACACAAGTACAATAATCTTCATGAAACATGAGAGGTACTGCGAGTAAAAAGAATCTCTGTGTAATGGCACTATAATATTTAATATTAGGACATTCTATTGACAGCTTAAAATCTTTACTCGTATATCACATATTATATACGTAACCATCAACGTTCCCCTTCCGCACGACATATTAATCGGTATGCAACTATGCTTAATGAAACGACAGTTCGCCAATTATGCGCCTTCGACCGCCAACGAGAACTCGTAATTAATGTATGACAGCTGGAGAGAGCGTACGGAGCTCGCACGTTTTCGCAGCGTTGTATATATATATGTACATACATATGTACATACACATACACACACACTCGAACATGTATACGTGTATGTGTATATGTATGTATACACATACGTACATATCGTAGATTTTTTCTCACTATAGTTAACACTTTACAAAACTATATACACTAAAGCCTCCTTTTTATCGTCTACCATGTATCGCTAGCTAGTAACATTTTCTTTCCTCTTTCTCCTTATATAATATATTCTTATGTATGTATATATGTATATGTATGTATATATTTATATAGTTTTCTCACACGCGCGGTATAATCATTAGTTAATCGTCGCCGCGAGGTGCGTAACATTAGCGCGTCAAGTCAGAACTCGTGCTACGTCAGATTCTAGGGCGAGGTGTACAATAATACAAACGTATCTTCTGTTTTTTCTTCTTCTTTCTTTTTTGTCACTTACTGCTAATCGCTAAGCAACTAATTAACGTCCGCGGCCCATCTGCGAGTTAATTATTCGCGTACTCTGCCTCTTTCACGATTCTCACGATGCATAATCTCTTTCTCTCTCTCTCTCTCTCTCTCTCTCTCTCTCTCTCTCTCTCTCT